TGTACCATCGCTACTATCATTGAATCTCCTCTGTCATCACAAAATGAGGTGAACGCAGCACAAGACAGAGTGCTCTAGAAAAGTGGAGACTTGCTGTAGTATTATTGTTATCATTACCACCATCTCAGTAGACATCCTTCCCCATCGGGCAGCCCTGTGGCCATTTTTTCACAGCTGTGCCTCTTTCATGGGATCCTGGTCCACTTGGGGCTCTGAGCTTTGTCTGGCCCTTTCCCTATTCCTTGCCCCAAGCCCTCTGGTACCACCCTCAGGTCCCCAGGGACGCTGCTGAGCCAGTGGTAGAAGGAGGGGAATTCACACTTCCTGGCAACTCGCCCAGGTGTCTGTGCCCTCCCCCAGGCTGGCCAGAGCTAGGCAGAGTGTTGCCAGCAGAGGCCCAGTGGTTAAAGGGGGCGTGGCTGGTGGATGGGGACCAATTGCTGCTGACTCTGGGAAGGATGTGGTGTATTGCTGGCCTTGCCATGGGCCGGCTGGGGAGGGAGCCAGGCCAATAGGACCCTCTGCTCAGTCACTGCAGCAGTGGCCCTGGGACCAGCCCTTCTCCTGGCACCCTGCTCCCTGCCTGACACAGGCTTACTCACCACCTTCCCCTGGACAACCAGCTTCTTGCCAGCTACAGTAGCTGTCCCCATCTGGCGACTGTTCCTGTCCAGGGACCACCCCATTCAGTGGTTCCTCTGCAGGAAAGGTGAGTGAGTGAGTGAGTGTGTGTGTGTGTGTATGCGTGTGTGTGTGTGTGTGTGTGTGTGTGTGTGTGTAGGGGGGTGGAGGGTCAGGACTGATGGGCTGTTGGTGTTAATGCTGTCAAGAGAGATCAGGGCGTACATGAGGGGAAGGTGAGGTCCACCTGTCTGGTTCCATGTCTCTGGGCTCAGCCAGGCCTGAAGAAGCCAATCTGCCAGTCCCCTGTCTGCAGATGTTTCTGACAGGGATGACTGGGGTGTGGCTGTCCCTGAGTTCAACGACAGACCCTGTTAGAAGTTTTGCTTGTTGAGATATTGCTGGTATCAGTGGTTGCTTGGGACTGATCAGTTTGGGGAGTGGGTGGGAAACGGAAACCAAGGGCAGGGAAGGATGGGCGTCTTCTCTGCTACTTGCCTGCTCATGCCTGGGCCATGAGGTGAACACAGTGTTTTTCTACTTTATTTCTTGAGTGCTGCCAGGGACCCTTTTCCTCCCTGGGGCTATGTCTGCTCCCAGGGGGCCAACCTAGGCTTCAGGGAGGTGGGCCTGGCAAGGGTAAGGCTCAAAGCAATTTCCCCCACTCTGCTCCTCAGCCCGGGCCCTGCTTTCTTTGCTGTGGGCACAGCCTGGCATGAAAGCTTTGTCCCCCTCTCCAGTCACCAGCTCTTACTCCTTCCTATCCCTCTGGGCAGTATTGGCTAATCCAGGTGGTTACTTTTTTTATTTTAGTTGGAGTCTCACTCTGTCATCCAGACTGGAGCGGAGTGTCCTCTCCCGGCCACTGCAGCCTCGACCTGCTGGGCTCCAGTGATCCTTCTGCCTCAGCCTTCCAAGTAGCTGGAACTACAGGCACGTGCTACCACGCCCCGCTAAGTTTTTGATTTATTGTAGAGATGAGGTCTTGCCAAGTTGCCCAGACGGGTCTCGAACCCGCGGGCTCAGGCAATCCACTCACCTCAGCCTCCCAAAGGCGCGGGATTACAGGCTGAGCCACCGAGCCCGGCTTCAGGTGGTTAATTATCAGACATGGGCGCTGCCTCCACTGCCCTCCTTCCTCCCCACCCTCCTCTCCTCCTCTGACTCTGATGCCCTGCCTGCCACCCCTTTCCAGGCTGGCGAATCCACGCAGGGCTGTCCTCTGTGTCTGTTCTCTACCCCTGATTCAGTTCCAGGACAGCCTGCCCAGGTATTTTCGGCTGGATACTGACCTAGAGGAGGAAACTGAGAAGGGGTAACTGAGGGGCAACCCTGAGAAGCCAACTGTGCTTCCAGGCTAGGCCTTTTGCAGGTGGTGAGTTCAAGGGGTGGTTAAAATGGATGAGGAATGGGAAGGAGTTGGATGGGAGGACAGAAAGGCAGGTGGCTGTAGGGTGAGAATAGGAGTGGGGACAGGAAATGAGGGTTCTGGAGTCAATGGGGACAGAGATGTTCTTCCGAAAGACCCAAGTGCCCCTTCAGTGAAGCAGACCAGAGGCAGGTGGTAAGGATGTGGGGGAACGTTCTCTGTTCTCCTCCTGAAGTTGCTGGAGTGGGATGGGGACCACTGTGGCTCAGACTTGCTCTTAGGTTGCCCCCGCCCCTGTCAGCAGGAAGCTACTCCCATCTTCCCCCAGCTCAGCTGTCCCCAGGATCTCAGGCTTGCTATAACCCAGGCACCTTCTGCCTGACATGGCTGGCCCAGGGTAAGGGAGGGAGAGTGGGGGAAACTGGACTGAAATAGAATTGGATGGGGAGAGCCCTCAATGGGGTCAGTGTTGGGGACCCAGCATGGGGCTGGCCTAGACCCTGCTGCCCATGGAGGGCAAGGAGCCAGGGAAGAGTGGCCTGGGCCGGGTTGGAAGGGTCTTGGCCAGTCCAGCAGGACTGCCAGAGCTGGGAGTCAGCAGTGGGGTCTGGAGCTGAGATCTTGGGTGGGAGTGGAGGCCTCCCGGGACTCTCAGCTCCAAGCTCCTGGCCTTGAGCTCCGCTGGCTGTCCTTTCCCATCCCTCATCCCAGGTTTCTTCACATTTGACCTCTCTCAAAACTGTAGGGCAGTGCTTCCACTAGGGTGACCATGTCAGGAAGTATAGACACGGAGACACTGGTGGCCTGGTGGAGTGGGACCCAGGCTGGGATGCATATGGGTTTAGGGACGATCATAGTGTCTTGTGACATTCCTCTGTTATCGGATGTGCTGTGGCTGAAGACCTGGAGTTTGAGAACCTCAGGGTCCTGTTTCTACTGACGTAGAAGCAGGAAGCAGGAGGGCAGAATGCACTTCAGTTTGTTTGAAGGAAGCAGAGATCATAGGTGAATGCTTGACTCAGCTTAGGAAAAAGCCTCCTAAGGACCTTGCTGGGCCAGCGGGAGGGTGGGCTGCTGTGGAAGGCAGTGAGCTTCTCATCCTCATGGGGGAGTTCAAACAGAGTCTGGACAAGGGCTTGGAAGGATTTCTGGGCTGGGATGTGTTTCGAGGGGATGACCGGCACGGTCTCTTGGGATGCTGATGGCCTGGGATTCTTGGAACTGAGGAACTCTCTGACACCAGAAAGGGGGTTCGGGAAGCTCTGGTCTCTGGCCTGGGATGAGGGCACAGACAGGACTCATAGGGCCCCTCTCCCAGCCAGGGTGTGAGGAGTACAAAGTCTGATGCTATGCTCGTGCCCTCCCTCACGGCCAACTCTCAGCTGCCCAGAGGCTGCCTCCTGCAAAGGTTCTGAGGTTCTGTCTTCTCCTCTAGGCCCACTCTGGATTTTGCTTGCTGGTTAACCTCGCGAGGGCTAGACAGACCTGTGATTGATGCTGTGAAGATTAGTGTAAATTTTCCGTGAGGCTTCAATATGGGTTTCAATTTTCTTCTGCATGTTTTAAGATTAGCTTATATGGTGTCTCTCTGATTAAATGTTTGAACAACTGCCAAAATTTTCCAAAGCAGCTGCTCATCTCACATTCCCGCCAGCAGCCTATGAGTTTCCGACTTCTCCTACAACCACACCCACACTGTTCTTGTGTGTCTCTTTATCAGTGAGCCCAGCCTGGTGAGTGCGAACTGTTCACTTCCTGTTTCTTCTTTGACACTGGGTTCCATTCTAGGGTGGGTTATAGACTTGGGTATGGTCATAGATGATCATATCTTGCTCTAGAGAAATGACTGGATGATGATGTATTTTGTGGTTAGAAAGGAAGCAAGTATGGCGACTGATTTACGTATTTCCGTTTCTTTGAGAAACTGGGGTAACATTTCCAGTGGTGTAGCCCTCCCTTTATACTTAGGCTTTCCCAGAGAGGAATCTCTGCCATCCCTGCAGCGAGGGCAGAGTCCAGGGAGGTAGATTAAATCTGGGGAGAAAAAGGGAGTCATGGGTGGATGAAGGTGCACACTTGCAGGACCGGACGGGCCCCAGCAGGGCTGGAGTGCCACCAAACAAGGGTAGTGTGCTGTCTTCTCTACTTCCTGCATTTTCCCCTTTATTGGGGGAGTAGACTGACTGTCTCTGCTTCTCCCATGTGGCAGAATATGGCTTCCCAAATAATCTGTTACATTTCTACCCACTAGGAGAAACTGTCGCCTGCATTCTTATCATTTTAATATATTTTAAAAATTTTATTACTGCCATTTTGCCTTGAATTATACTGTACTTTTTCAAACTACACTCATACTCTCAGACCAGGTCAACCTCTTTCCAAATGAGAACTGCTGGGCCTTGCTAATCGACTAAAGTTTCTTCTAGCTTGAGCCTTCTGAAACTCCATGGTGCTATTTCTCAAACTGTTTTCCAAAAGATTTCTTTTAAAATAATTTTCAGAGAGTTGGAGAAAGGGATTCACCTCTCAGCTCTAGAGTCAAACTGATTTCTTTCTACTGGTAAACTTATTAGGTAAGCAAGGATGCTTTCTTATTAAGAACTGAATGATATGTCACATTGCTGGCCATTCAATCCCACATGTACAGCCAAAGATGCTCCCCATTAGTGATCCAAGTGGCACCCATTGTCATGTTGAGGTTATCCAAAGGGAACTTTCTATAAAATATTAGGTGATGGCAATGTCATGGAAAATGCTAAGAAGTTCTCTCTGATATTGAAGGAAACTACAGTCTTTTCTTAAAATGTACCATTTATCACATATATCACAAAACCTTTCTGATAATCTGCCACTTAAAAAAAGAAGGGAAAATTACTTCCATGTACTATACAAGTCAAGGCAAAGAATCCTACCCCTGTTACCTGGATGGATGGGCAAGATCTGGGGAGAATTTACTGTCCACTAACACTCATCTTTCTTCTATAGGCAAAGACTTAAGTTTACATAAAAAATGGAAGATTTTAACTGGGATAATGACAGCTTGGAAGATCTCTTCAATCAATATTTAAGTAATTACAATTATAGCAGTGGACTGCCCTTAATTCCACCTGATTCTGCCCCATGTGTGTTAGAATCCCTGGAAATCAACAGATATGTTATGATTTTCACCTGTGCTGTAGTGTTCCTGCTGAGCCTGCTGGGAAACTCCCTGGTGACGCTGGTCATCCTACACAGCAGGATCAGCCGCTCTGCCATTGACGTCTACCTACTGAACCTGGCTTTGGCCGACCTGCTCTTTGCCCTCACCTTGCCCATCTGGGCTGCCTTCAGGGTTAACTGGACTTTGGGCACAGCCTTATGCAAGGTGGTCTCATTCCTGAAGGCAGTCAACTTCTACTGTGGTATTCTACTACTGGCCTGCATCAGTGTGGACCGCTACCTGGCCATCGTCCACGCCATGCGCACACTGACCCAGAAGCGCCACTTGGTCAAGTTTGTATGTCTGGGCATGTGGGCCCTGTCCCTGCTGCTGTCCCTGCCCATCTTACTTTTCCGAAAGGCCATCTACCCACCTATGTCTGGCCCAGTCTGCTATGAGGACATGGGCAACAGTACAGCAAAATGGCGGATGGTATTGAGGATCCTGCCACACACTTTTGGCTTCATTTTGCCTCTGTCAGTTATGCTGTTCTGCTATGGATTCACCCTGCACACGCTGTTCAAGGCTCACGTGGGGCAGAAGCACCGGGCTATGTGGGTCATCTTTGCTGTCGTCCTCATCTTCCTGCTCTGCTGGCTGCCCTACAACCTGGTCCTGCTCACAGACACCCTCATGAGGATCCGGGTGATCCAGGACACCTGTGTGCGAGTCAAGGACATCTCCTGGGCCCTGGATACCACTGAGATTCTGGGCTTCCTCCACTGCTGCCTCAATCCCCTCATCTATGCCTTCACTGGTCAGAAGTTTCGTCACAGACTCCTCAGGATCCTGGCCACCCATGGTCTGGTCAGCAAGTAGTTCTTGGTTAAGGATGGCAGGACTTCCCTTGTTGACTGGTCTTCAGGAAACAATTCTACTCCCCTCTGAAACCTCTTGAGTAGAGAGCCCTTCTGGGTTCTCCCCTTTTCTTCAGTGGCATATTCCAAGTCTCATGTCCACTAGCAGTTCACTGTCTGATTGTTAATGCAGCCTCTGTTGTGGTTACTGAAAGCAGCAGAGGCCACGTTATTCCAGTCCCCTTCCCATTTTTAGTGTGCCATGTGCTAGAGCTCTGTCCATCCTGCCTCTAGGCCCATGGGCACTGTGGGCCTTAAGAAGTGCCGATCAAAACCTCAGTGTGATAGCACTGCACTCTCATTAGGATGGTTATCATCAAAAGAAAAAGCCCCAGACAACTGTAAGTGTTGGTGAGGATGTAGAGAAACTTGAACTCTATTCTTGGTCGACTATAAAATGGAGCAGTCGCTGTGAAAAACAGCATGCCACCATGTTTGGCAAGAAATTATCTTCAAGCACAACATCTCTGTTTCTTAGGCTCACTATTTATAAGGTAAAGAAAAGCCAGCTGGGCTCAGTACTCAGCCTGCAAACTCAGCACTTTGGGAGGCTGAGGCAGATGGACTGCCTGAGCCCATGGGTTCGAGACCATCCCAGAAGACTTGGTGAGACCTCATCTGTACAATAAATCTGAAATTAGTCAGGTGTGGTAGTGCACATCTGTAGTTCTGGCTACTTGAAAGACTGAGGTGGAAGACTCACTGGAGCCCAGCAGGTTTACGCTGGAGTGGCTGTGAGTGTGCCACTGCACTCCAGCCTGGGCGACAGAGTGAGACTCCAATTCAAAACAAAACAAAACAAAACAAAAACCTCCTGTAGTATGACAGTTTCCCTTTATGGGAAGCCTGTTTAGATGATCAGAAAGTTAAAACTCTTGAAAAATAATTGAACTTAACTATTCAGTGAAAGGATGTGTCTAAGGTTATGAGTGTATACCATATATTAGAAGAATAATGCAAACAAAAAATCTAGTACCTTGTGCAGGGGAATACACAGCTCCTAGAAGATAAAAGCTTGTGAAAATGTCTGGTTATATAGAAAAAGTTAGGAACACCAAGAAAAGTGAAGAGTATAGGATCAAGTTTTACACTTTGTGTCAGGCCACAATTGCAGAATTCAACCTGAAAAAAAAAGCTACCAGAACTGGTAGAAAGTTGAGGGAGGGAATCACCACTTTAGTAAGCAAAAGATGCACCTTTCAAGGACAGAAGTAAGAAATGTTGAAGAAGATTATGTGTGAGCTGTAAATCACTTGTGGTGAGATGCTAAAAATGCTGAACCCTTGAAATGTGAATCTAAAATGCTTTAAGAAGAAAATCTTTCCTTGAGAAATAAAATTATCATTTTAAATAGAGAAGTTAACTCTTCCAACTTGAAGTTAGGTAGGAAATGTGCAATAGAAAAAAACTAGAGTTCAGAAAATGATTGAAAATGTGAAGAAACAGATTTTAGAATTATAATGGAAACTTACTCTTTTTTTTTTTTAAACTAAGAACAGATTAACATTTTAAGAATACCTTGCTGCTTCGAACATAGATGATCAGTCTCTGGCTCAGTGTCATTGTATGCCTGATACAAATGTTCAATTTTTAGAAAATGTATGTATAGTTTTAAAAAATCCCAACCAACTGGATCATACACAAATGTCCCTTTACAAGACTATCCTTTATAAACCCCACCTGATATTCTTAGACTTTCCATTATTTTCTCAAACTCTCAGTCTTTGTCCGATAGTTTCCTTTCTGTCTCTTTTTTATATATTGGAACAGCCAGTCACTTTACATTAGGACAAATATTCCCCTTTCCTCCCATTATTATTGACATCATTTGCAATTGTTTTTCATGCAAGCTTTTTTTTTACATTTTGTATACATAATTTAATGTATTAATTAGAACATAATATTTGTTAAAAACTCAGGAAATAAATACTTTTGAACTGTTATAGTTAGCATCTTATGAATATGTGTTTTATAATCTCTAAGAACATATTTTATAGAAGAATTTTAATGTGAAACTGAACATTTTATTAATAGACTCATTTATTTTTATCTTTTTACAGTACTTAAGAAGTTAATACTAAATAAACATGAATCTATGGTTAGAATTTAATGCTTCAATATTTTATCTTATTTTGAAATGACTCAAACAAACCAAAATATAAAATATGTATTTGCCAAGAGGGATGGCAATCCTTCTTTATCAGGAGTGAAGAATTCCTTTATAAGCAGAAAACCTAATAATAAGTAGAAACAAAATCTCTCGTGAATAGGAGATTTCATAATTTGGAGGGAAAACCTCCCTTGTAAACAAATCCCAAAGAAAAATAAGAACTCTATCTGAAGTAAAGTGGAACTTTGATCTCAGGGAGGCTCATGGAAGGTTAAGGAGAGGATACCTGTGGAAGTGGGGAGCTCAAGGAATCTGAGTGTGGGTACTGCATGTCTAGTTCTGGAGCAGTTGATCTCACCAAGCTGAATCTGCTTTGGATCCCACTTCTGACACCAAGTATGTCAAAGTCAGAGGCAAATATACAGACAAATTTCTAACAAAAAATTTTATCTGGGAAAAGAGAATTGCAATTTGATGCATACACACAGACTGAGGTGGTTTTTTGGTATTTCTGAAGATCAAATAGAAGACCTTACGTTTTATTAGAAATAGAAATGTTATATATTGTTTTGGGAAAAAAAATTGCATTGGCATTGGCAAAAGTTCTAGGAGCTGGCAAACTTGGATTATTGAGTGACAGCAGTAGCTAGAACTAGCCCAAGAATCATGGGAGTTCATTTCAGCAGCTGGTAGGTAAAGTGGTCATGAGATCACAGCAGGAGAGGATTGAGCAAGATAGCTAAATAGAACCCTCCAGAGATTGTCCCCACACAGGAATAGCATATTGAACAATCATTAATGCAAGAAAATACCTTCACAAGAACTAAAAAGTCAGCTCACCAAAGTCATGCCAATAAAAGTCAGCAAAGTCAGCAAAAGTGTTTCTGGGCTTTGCAGTGACCACTGGCTTAGGTCATCATACTCAATCCTTTTTTGAATATGTGGAAAACCTCTTCAAGAAGAATGCATAGAATCAAGTCCAGACTGTAGCAATTAGAATAAATACCTAACGCTTCACTGCCCAGACATTGACTATCATCCACAAGCATGAAGAACATCTAGGATAGGCTGAGGTGGAGGGATCACTTGAACCTAGGATTCACGGCTGCAGTGAGCTTTGATTGTGCCATTTACAGCCGGGGTGACACAGAGAGAGATGCCATCTCACAAAAAAGAAACTTTTCAGGGAAACATGCTCTCAGAAAATGAACTAATTAAGACACCAGTGATTAATCCTACAGTGATGAAGATATGTGACCCTTCAGTCAGGGAATTCAAAAGAGCTGTTTTTACAAACCTCAATGAACTTGAGGATAACACAGAGCAGGTTACAGTATTCTATCAGAGAAATTTAACAAAGAGGCTGTTAAAAAAAGCAAACACATTCAGAAACTGAAAAATTCAATGGATAGACTGAAAAAACCGCTTCAGAGTCTTTCAACAGTAGATTTGTTCAAGCAGAAGAAAGATTTAGTGAGATTGAAGACAAGTTATATGAAAATACACAGTGAAGGGAGAAAAAGGAAAAAAGAATAAAACATGCTTACAAGATCCAGAAAACAGCCTCAGAAGGACAAATCTAAGAGTTAACAGCCTTAAAGAACATGGAGGGAGGGAAAGAGGAAGGGAGGTGGGGGGTGGGGGAAGAGAGAGAGAAGAGAGAAAGAATTGAGAGGGAGAGAAGAAGATTGGGGTAGAATGTTTATTCAAAGAAATAATAATAATGGAGAACTCTCCTATCCTAAAAAAAGATATGAATATCAAGGTAGAAGATGTTCATAGATCATCAAGAAGATTCAATCTAAATAAGATGACCCCTAGGTACATAACCAAACTCTCAAAATTCAAAGCTAAAGACAGGATCCTACAACCAGCAAGAGAAAAAAAATTACATATAAAGAAACTCCAATGCATCTGGCAGAAAACTTCTCAGTGGAAACTTAACAGGTAGGAGAGAGTGGGATGACACATTCAAAATGCTGAAGGATATGAATTTTCAACCTAGAATATTATATTCAGAAAAATTATCCTTCAAACATGAAGGAGAAATACTTTCCCAGACAAACAAAAGCAGAGGGTTTTTATCAACACCAGACATGTCCTATAAGAAATGCTAGAGGTAGCTCTGTACTGAAAGAAAATGGTGTTAACAAACAGCAAGAAATCAGCTGAAGGTATACAACTCACTGGTAATAACAATTCACACACAAATACAGAATACTCTTACACTTTGACTGTTATCTTTAGAGGAAGACTAAAAGATCTATCAAAGATAATAACTATGACTGCTTTTTAAGAGATAGGCAGTCTTATGAAATATAGAGATCTCAACATGTCCAAAAGCGAGGAAGGGGAATGGAGTTAATGTGAAGAATTATTTTTTAGTACACATTGCTGATTTGTGTGCTTTTTCTTATTTTCATAATCAGAATAAAGTTCTCATCAGCTTAAAATATTGAAAGTCACATAGCAACCACAAGACAAAAACCTATAACAGATATATAAGAAATAAAAAGCAAGAAATTAAAATGGACAAAATCACTTTTATACACGGAAAGACAGAATGAAGGAAGAACAAGGAAACAAAACCAAACAAACAAAACTCCAGAAAACAAGTAACAAAATGGCAGTAGTAAGCCTTTACCTATCAATAAAAACCTTGAATGCAAATGGATAGAATTCTCACATCAAAAGACAGAGTGGCTTAATGGATTTAAAAAAACCAAGACCCTAGTCACATTACTCATAAAGACATACATAGACTGAAAATAAAGAGATGGAAAAAGATATTTCACAAATTTGGGAAAAAACTCTCAAAATGTTCTCAGACCACAATAATCAACACAGAAGAC